GAGAAATGGAATGCAACAATAAGGGAATTGATATTTGGTAGTAAAAAAACCAGAAGTTCAAAAAAAAATAATATATAGTCATAGTTCAGAACTAGGGTGGGGGGTACCAGACATAGTAAGTTATTATGAAGCATTTCAATTGAAAACACTTTTAGAAATAGAGGAAGATGAAAATCAGAAATGGGTCAAATTTGAAAATAAAAGGGGAAAGAGAAGATAAATTAGAGATGGGGCCTAGGAGAAATACATTGAGAATTTGGAAGAAATGGCGACAAAAATGGTTAAAAGGCATATCTAGATGGGCACCATTATGGGATATTTACAAATAAAGGGGAAAGAGAAGATAAATTAGAGATGGGGCCTAGGAGAAATACATTGAGAATTTGGAAGAAATGGCGACAAAAATGGTTAAAAGGCATATCTAGATGGGCACCATTAGAGACTTTAGAAAAAGATAGTACAGATCATAGATGGTGGGAACTGCTTAGAGAAAAAGGATTGAGAAGAATAAAAGATATGTGTAACGGAGGAACTGTGAAGTCACTCCAAGCACTAGAGGGGGAGATAGGAGTAAAATATTGGTTGAAAATAGCGGGTCTACACAAGAAAGTCAAGAAGTTAATGGAGGATGGGAATGTAAGTACAGAGGAACCAATAGAAGAGATATACAAGAGAATGAAACAAAATAAGGGAGGATTGGTAGGGGCAATATATAAGAAAATGATTTCAGATAAGGAACAAATAATTATACAATTACAAAGAAAATGGGAGACGGAAACACAAATAACAGAGCAAAAAGCTATAAAACTCATGAACGGAATTAAAAAGATTAAATTATATAAGTTTAAAGAACTGGAATTAAAAAATTTTACCAAATGGTATAGAACCCCAGCAATGTTGGCAAATATGTTTCCAGGACTAAGCCCTAACTGTTGGCACTGTAAAAACGTAAAAGGGTGGTATTCACATATGTGGTGGGAGTGCCCAGAAGTTAAAACTTTTTGGAAAAATATAGTAGGGAAAATGAATAGATTATTTGCAATAAATATAAACATAGATTTCGAATTAATGATGACAAGTACAATAGGAGTGGAGACAATAGAGAGAAGGCACCAAGAGTTACTGAAAGCAATGGTTCTAGCAGGTAAAGCGGTTATAGCAGCAGGATGGAAAGATGCAAGCAAATGGACAGAGAGAAACTGGCTTAACTATGTGTTTGAAATTATTCAGGCAGAGATAATCTCCGAAATCAACCAAGACAAGCCATGGGAAGAAAAAACAGCAACAATCCAAGAGAAATGGGCCATATACTGGAGATGGATGGAAGAAGAACAAAGGAACGACGTTCAGTGGAAGCTTCAAACACTATGCCCCTGGCTGAGAGAAAAGGACTAAAAACAATAGACTGGAGGGGGGGGGGGGGGATGGGGGAAAATGTTAGAAAATGATGGAATACGAAAATGTATAATCAGAATGAAAATAATAAGAATAATAAAAATATTTAAACAAACAAGAACAAAGACCTGTTAAGTAACTTACCCTCCCTTTCAATAGCAAAAGTGAATACGAAGCTGCTGGGGGGGGGGGGATAATTACCTTGTACACTGTCCCGTACCCTCCTTTTCCTAGCCTTGAGATCTCATCAAATTCATTGATGTAGCGAGATGTTTGTGCTTCAAAGAGGACTTCATTTACACTGCTTTAAAAAAAAAGAAGAAGAAAAGTACATGTTAACCCTTGTAAGAATAAACATACTGTGCCAGAATTACAAATCATTGGACAACGCTAAGGCAGGGGTGTCGAACTCATTTGTTATGAGGGCCAGATCTGACATAAATGAGACCCTGTTGGGCCAGGCCTTGTGTGTCATAAAATGTCATTGCCAGGTAGTGGAGATATAAACTTTATAAAGGACACAAGCACAAAGGGGTGTTTTTTTAAACTTTAAAACATGATTAAAACATTAGCACTCTTGCAATATTTTAACAGTGTCTGATAACTGACACCTCTTGCTCTGAATTATTGCATCAAAATGTCTGTGCTGCTGCAATCTCGAGTACACTGTTCAGGTGTGTATCTGTACGCTGCAAACCTACGACGACGCAGCAGCAGCAGAACTGGAAGGAGAAGCAGAAGACAGCCAGTTCTAGTGCGGGCCTGATAGAAGCCCTCCGAGGGTTTGATCCACCCCCCGGGCCACATGTTTGACACCCCTATGATAGGGGTGCCAGCAGGAAAGGGGTCGGCAACAGCAAAACTGAGCAAAGAGCAGGAAGGGAAAGGCTGAAGTTGTTGCTTCTCCCTCCTCTCCTTCCACATTCTCAATCATGTTCTCCAAGGCTGCTTTTGTTAAAAGAGTATGCCTGGGGAAAAGAATCACACAACCACCCAAAAACCAAGATAGTAGGTACTATAAAAGTGAGATAGGTTCAACTTCTGGAATACTTTCAAAACACTCTTAATTTTATCTGTACTGTACAGACACAGGAATGACATTCCCCAAGGCATCTGTTTTAACCGTGTTAAAAAACAATTTGTCATAGATAATAACAACTAATACTACTGCAAATTACTAGTCAGTTATCAACCTGCCCCTTAGTACAGGGGTCTATCCTCTCCTGGCACACCTCTCAAAAAGCATTACACTCTAGGGAGCAAAATCTCCTGGTGATCCCTGGCCTGAAAGACATCCGGCTGTCCTTGACCAGAGCCAAGGCCTTCTCGTTCCCCCAGGCCTATGGTTGAGGACAGCAACGGTTTACCATCACACCTGGCCTCCTCTACCCCCCCTCCCCCTCAGGGGAAAGAGTGAAAATTGGTAGTTAATGTCACCTGGATGAGTTGTTGCTGCACTGCATTGCACTGCATTGTTTTGTTTTAACTGTTTTAAACCAAACTTTATTTTTTACTGATATATGTATTTGTTAAATGTTGTGCACTACCCCGAGCCCTTTGGGAAAGGGTGGTCTAAATAATAATAATAATAATAATTGATTATTATTATTATTATTATTAGCCCAATCACTGCTACTGAAGGGCTCTGGCCAATGTACGATATGAATAAAAACATACACTAGATAAAACAATAAAAATCGAACAGCACATTTTTTAAAAGATGGCGAACAAATTAATCCCATTTCAGACTGCCGGCCGCTTCGCGGGCAGGGGAAAAAGGGTAAGACAAATGTAGAGAGCAAAAGAGTGTACCAGCCAAGATGAAAATTGTCACTGTCCTCAACCAAGTTCCCACAAGGCCTTGATGGTACTCGACAGAGAGTACCACTAGGCTGGGGCCAAGGACCATCAGTAAGGTGTTACTACTACTAATAATAATAATAATTAGTAAGCCTCCATATATGTGTGTGGACAAGGGAGGCAGAAAGATCTCTTTTTGGAGTTCTCTTTCCTTGAAAGAGCAGCAAAGCTTTAACCTTTTCAAAACAAAGCAAGGTATTTTAAGCTGCCTGGATGTTGGTGCCCAGGGCTAAAGCAGAAGGCAGTGCCACCTGCTCAGAGTCCTTGGGACGGGGGTGAGCAACAACCCCAATTCAAAAAGCAAAAACAAAAACAAAAACAAAAAATGTACTTTTCTGTACCAGTCCTGTACAATTCCCCATTCTTTGTATGTTCAATTGTTTCTACAAATCTTAATGCTAGTGATCAAAGGAACTGCTTTTGGCACTGTTTTTAAATCAATCAGAAGTTCCCTTTAATAGATGTAAATGCCTTTGGGCTCCAAGTCTGATGCTGATCACTATTTTATATTCGTAAATACACAGACTTCTAAAAAAACATATCGGTTATTTCAAGCATTTCAAGCATCAGTTATTTCAAGCATACCTGTTTGTGTGGGCATCGCCACTGCCAAACTCCTGCAAAACATAATAAAAACTCCTGATGAAACAAACAGCCCAGTCTAATTTCTGACTAGTACAAAATGTTCAAAAACAAGTTGCTATTTGTTCTCTTATTTCGTGAAATTAAACTTCTGGTCACGGCTCTAAATCGGTGGACCAAAACTGTAAGGACAACGGGGGGGAGGGGGGGCGGCATTCAGCTGCATTTATGTAGGACACTGTAGTATTTACACAGCCGTCCTTTTCTAAATTGCTCAGAGGGTTTTGCATACATCATCTAGGTGACAGCAAACTGAAACCCACAAAGCAACTCAAGGAACTAATTTTTGGGAAGGGGTGGTTGCAGAAGCACCCATCAGCCAAAACACTCCACAGTCCCCTGTAACGGGAGGAGCGAGAGGACTGGCTGCCAGCTGACGTAATGATGGCCGTGAGCAGGGAGAGCTTGAAAAAGGGAATGGACAGATTCACAGAGGGGGATCCATCAACACCCCACCCCAGGTACGCCACTGTTCCTGTCCCAACCCCCTTTAGCTATAATGTTTAATTCAAAGCTAAAACCAAATCTATGCTTTAACGCTATGCATGCACAAAACATGTCACAGTGGGAAACAGAACATGGAGAACATTGGATTTGGTCCTCTTGTATACCAGGCAACCCAGTCCAGAAAAAAAGAAATTACAAAACACACCAACACCAGGAAAAGGAACGTACTGTTGCATTAATCCAAAAACACAATCCACGTTAATAAGAAGAAGAGGGGATTGGATTTATACCCCACCCTTCGCTACCCAAAGGAGTCTCAGAGAGGCTTACAATCTCCTTCCCCTTCCCACAACAGACACCCTGTGAAGTAGGTGGGGCTGAGAGAGCTCTCTCAAGAACTACTTGTGAGAGAACAGCTCTGAAAGAACTTGTAACTGACCCAAGGTCACACCAGCAGCTGCATGTGGAGGAGTAGGGAATCAAATTTGGTTATCCCAGAATAGAGTCTGTGCTCCTAACCACTACACCAAACTGGCTCTTTTATTAGGATGAGCCCAGTGACACATAACTGTTTGTAAGCTTCCATGTTCCGCAGAACTCTTCATCAGGCCAGATGTTACAAAATTGTATAAAGAAAGCAGATTGTAAGTATATTTTTGCTCCCACCCACCCCCCTCCTTATTAAGGCCAGAAGTTACAAAATTAAAGTTCTGGGGAGCTCAAAAACTTGCACACTGTTGTGTTATTGGACTGGCCCTAATAAAAGATTGTGCTTTTAGCTTTTTGACAAACGGGGCTGCAAACAATTTTACTGCTACCCTAAACATACCAACAACAACCACCCCCTCTCAAAGTGCTGACTCCTCCAGGATGCTTTCATCTACATAAGAACACTTCTGCAAACTGCACAGGTCTCAATTCCTGTACCTTGAAGCCAATGTCACATTTTACATTGTCAGCCGCCTCCAGTTCCACTCAGGAAAAAGGAAGTGAGATATAAATTTGATAGATAAATAAATAAAGGTATACAGTGAGGCTAAGGAAACTTACCCCATTGAGTATTTGCTGATTAGCTGCCTTCATTAACTGAGTAATGGCCTGATTATGCTGCAGCCTCAAACTGCTGAATTCATCACAGGAGGCAAAAGAGGAAAGCAAGCCCATTCGAGTAAACGTCTTGCACAGCACTGTACGAAAGCAGAAAGCAGGAAGGAAAAAATGTTCTACAGTGAACTTTAGACAGCATCCACACAATATAAAACACTGCTCCTTATTTTTTGTGTGTATTCATTGAGCCAACCATTCGTAAGAGTTGTGCACCATTAACTATGGCGGAGGTTCAGTTTAACCAGTTTGGCAGACACACACAAACACTCACTTCATCCAATGTACTTCATCCAAACTGCACAAACACGTCGGCTTGGTTCAGACTTCGCAGGAAACCACAGTTTATCTCAATTAAGGTTAGCCTGGGCTGCAGATAATACATTCAAATTCTGATTTGCCCCAACAAATGCCCCAACTCCCCCACCAAAGGCTTTGTTGGTGCCCCACTCTCCACTGCAAAGAGGACACAAGGCCAAGAAACAAGCTGGAATACCCACTTTAATATGTTTGGTAAAATCAGGATTAAGACTTTACAATGGTTAAGAAACCAGCTTAAAACCATGGTTTCACATCCTGGCTTGACACATTCTAGCTAACCCACAGTTAGTGGAGTGGCCCAGGTTTGGACGATTGTGCTAACCCGGAGTAAGTTGTAACCAGTGTTCCCTCCAACCTGAGTCAGTGTGAGCTAGCTCACAGTTTTTTAGCCTCCGGCTGGCAGATTTCTGTTTCAGCTCAGGAAAGATGGCTCCGGAGCAAACTAATTTATGCAGCCGCCAAATCGCTCGCTCACAACTTGAATGCCAGTCGCTTACCAAGTAGAATTTTTGCTCACAGGACTCCACAGCTTGGAGGGAGCACTGGTTGTAACCACAGCTTCACGTGAGATCTGAACCAAGCCGTTATTGAACAAGAATATAGCAGGCCATTCAATACTAAAACACACTGTAAATCCAGTAAAGGGTTTTTTAAAAATGCTCTATGTTTGGGGAAACTCCCCCTCACATAAAAAGTTACTGGTGATAAAATCTACTATGCACCCTTTGGTGGTGGTGAAAACGGCTGTTAAAATCGCAGCCGACTTGGAGCAACCCCTCATAGAGTTTACAAGGCAGGAGACGAAGAGAGGCGGTTTGCCTTTGCCTGCCTCTGCATAGCAGCCCTGGGCTTCCTTGGCAGTCTCCCATCCAAGTACCAGGATGTGGTGATGACATCAGCCTAGCCTGGGCAATCCGGATCAGGCCATAATGCATTCTTCACCCCCCACCCCCCAAGAAAAAAAAAACTGCTAGGACAAAATGTTATAGCGGTCAGGTCTGAACTCAACATAATCACAAAACACCGAAAAATAATAATCGCCCAGACCAGTAGAATGTTGTCAGGGAGAAAAAATTACATCCTCTAATTTCTGTGTTCGGGATGGGGGCACCAAAACATGTGATGTGTGTGTTTTCATATATCTCACATATACATTCTTTGTGGTCGCCATCTCCTCAAAAAAAAAGAAAGAAAAAAGAAAAAAAAACTGTCTGGACCACATTCATTCTATTCCGCAGAACTTTTGCCTGATAGGCTTAACTCCATAAATACCTGTTCATACACGCAAACCTACATGCACTGGGGTCTCTCCAGGGAAAAGATTAGTTTATTTTGTTTGATTTTTTTTCATAGAAGGCTTTCCAGATGGCATAGCAAGGGGCAGTTCTAGAAATAAGGATTGCAATGTTAAAAGGTGTTTATTGGTTTAATCTGTTTCTTCTCTATGTTCCAAAAGTGTAATAGCGAAATAACTAATCTTATTAGAGGTTTCAGAAATGACAGTCCATGTTCCAGTACTACTAATCTTTGACACTGCTTTTAGTCTTACTGCACTGAACTGCACTGGAAGTAAAAGAAACAAAGAGGCAACATCAGATGACGTCGGGGCGCCCAGTGTCCCAGACGATTTGCCAGATGAACTGAAAGTGCTGTTTTAAAAAGTGTTGTTTACATATTTTAATTGAGTTTTTGTTGTAAGCATATGTACTTCTATATTTCTTGCGTCAAAGCTGCACTGCCTAAACCCAACAATCCCCCATGACTGAAAGGATGCTAATGATTGCCAGAGCTTATACAGGTGTAGGTGTCAGTGAACTATAAATCTTCACATACGCACCGCTTATGAAACACTTTGTACTCTGCTACTGACTAACAGTCAGCTTAACTTGGTAGGTGCGCTTAACACTTCCGTGGTGCATATGTGAAGTGCCTTTGATTATTCTAATCACAGTAACTGAAATCAATCATGAACATATAATCAGATATTCACTTTGGTTCATTGCTTAAATGCATCTCCTTCAACTGAAGGAGAATGGTGTGACGGATATATGACAAAGTTTGATGGAACCAATAATTATGATTTATTTCTAACTGTCATAGTGGGTATAAGACTGCCAAGTGCTTTCTCAAATTGGGCTGGGGAAGCACACCCTTGACAGAGTTTCTGTCTTACATTGCTTTGGGCTGCGATTTTATTGTCTTTTTAGGTGGGCTTCAACAGTTTTTATCGCTGTTCATACACTGTCTCAGGTGCCAATCTAGGTAGAGAAAGCAGTTTACAAACCTGGAAACATATAACAAAAATATGTGCCCTAGGAAATGGGTTAGGGCTCTGGCATTTCTTTTTTTTTTTTTCAATCAAAATTAAGTACAGTTAGGCTTTCTGTTTGGTCTGGTGTATCAGAACTCTGAGGAAGATCCCAGAAGACTCTAAGCAGGTTAAAGTTCCAAAGCAGTTTGTCTACTCCTTAGACTACTTCTTGCCACATAATCTAGCTCCCTTGAAAAGGAGCAGTTACTGGCCCAGATTCAAACACCAGCATCAGCCATCGTGAGGTGGGCAGGAACCCAGAACCAACGATCTGTAAGATACTGTCTTACTTCCTAAAGTGTGGTAGAGTACAGATTTATCAACAATCACCTGTTGCGGAATTAGGGCCTGGATTGAGCCTCAGCTCTGTTACACCTATGATACTTTAACTTCTATAGTAATTAGCCTCTATAGTTGAATCTTTGGTGTGGTTTCCCAGGTTTCAGACTTCTGATGGTGCTGTGGCCTTCTGGTACCAAATAACTCTGTACATAACTTTTGCCTTAGAGGATGTTTATACATCCCAGAAGTTAGTGGCGTCACTATCAACATCAAATTGGAAAGAGTATCTGAAACTAGCTTCCTTGACTGTCCTTGACTTGCTTTGAGCTTCCTGACCTCAGAGAGAAGTGGGAGAGATTTGGGTCAGTTCTACTTTGGCCTGTGTCACATCCATGGTAGCCCCATATGATAGGTACATTACTAGGTACATTGACAGTTATAGGTCCAAGAAAGATATATACCTGTGGTTTACTAATGGTAGGGGCAGGCCTTCAACAGCTCCTTGTGAGACCGTGGCTAGTCCAGAACGTTCTAAGTTTTATACAAGTGCACTATTTTAAGTACTGGGTTGAAATATGCTATGGTGAATATTGAAATGCTGAATACTGAAATGCTACAAAGTGTTTTCTGCCTTATGTCTGTGTTGTAGGAGCCCGTTTGACTCCTGCCAGTGGTAAGGACTCAGACAAACTTGGCCAGAAAGGAAAAACAGGCTGCTTACTCGTAACTGATGTCTTCGAGTGGTCATCTGTGCATTCACCCCTCTGGGATACAGTGCGCCTACACTGACCCAGATCGGTACACTTGAAAGTGGATTTTCACACCCACTCCCCGCTCATGTGCAGGGCTCCAGTGCGCACGACCAGGGGAGGGGCACGACAATCCCGCCAGCTCCTTCTGACCGTTGCCATCAGTCTAATAGCAACAAGAGGACCAACAGCAGAGAGGAAGGAGGGCGGGTAGTGTGGATGCACAGATGACCACTCGAAGATCATCAGTTACAGGTAAGCAACCTGTTTATCTTCTTCGTGGTCTCTGTGCATCACACCTCTGGGAGAGTAACAAGCAAAAAGAAACAACACCTACCTGGAGGAGTAGAGATGTGAAGGCCCGGGGAAAAACCGGAAAAATTTGGAAAAAAAACATTTTTCTTCGTTTTTTTTCGAAAAATTGAAAAAAGAAAAGGAAAAAAAATGATTATGGAACGTTTTATTTTAACATGATGAATAAAATAGTTTAAGACAAGGTGTTCAAATATTTTCCAAATCATTTCTAAAATATATATATATATATGGTATCAGATTGATCTAATTTCTGTGCACTGAGGACAAGTCCTAGGTTACAAACTGAACTCTCCAATGCAAGAACAAGATGCATTTCTTCCTTTAAGGGGTGCTATTGTCAGAAGAAAAGAAAAAGGTTTCAGTTTTGTTTTTGCATGTGGGTAGGTATTCTGTTTGTAATAATTGTTTGGGTATGCTATATCTTTAATATGCTAGTTGTGATAATTTCATGCCAAGTAAAAATGTCCATAATCATATTTTATGTTCCTAAAGTAACAGAATGACTTTTAATCTAGAAAAAACAAAAGAAATGCTAATGTAGCATTTTTTTCAATTTTTCCGAAAATTTCCATTTCCCTCCCAAAAAAACTGGGGGGAAAACGATTTTTTTTCCGAGCTTCAAAATTTCTGGAAATTTTACATCTCTATGGAGGAGGGAGCATGAGGTCCTTAGATGCACGCCAACTGCAACACAGAACGCCCCACCGCAGCATGCTGATGAAGACGCACATCTAGGGCATAATGTCTCACAAACGTGTGAGGGCTGGCCAAAGTTGCTGCGTTGCAAATGTCACAGAGCAACATGCCCTTCAGGAAGGCTGTAGAGGTGGCCACCATTCATGTGGAGTGCACATGAAGCAGTCCTGGGAGAGGTTTCTTAGCCAACAGGTAACAGTTTAATCGCCTTCACAGTCCATTTAGACAGGCATTGCGATGAAAGTTTACTCCCAGCGCCAGCAAAGCGTAGGAAACGAAAAGGACTGGAGACTTTCTAAAAGTCTTAGTCCTGTCCAAGTAAAAGAGCAGGGCCCTCTTAACGTCTAGGGTATGGAAACGATGCTCCGAATCATCTTTTGGAGCTGGGAAAAGCACTGGAAGAGTAATG